TGCCGGTACTGGACGGATTGAACCGAGCGTGTCTGACTGACTGAAGCGTTTTTTCTCTCGGTAGAATGCGCCGAAATTGGAACATCGGGGTTTCACTTCTCGTGTGGACCTTGAAATGTGGTGTCAGTGTCGACTTCGACGAAACGAAAAAACGACGGGGAGCCTGCATGTACTGACTCCACTATAGTACCCGCAAGGGTCGCCGGGCATGTAGGTGCGCCCAAGCGGGTTCGCCCGCCCGCAGTAAAAGCTCCGTAGGTGCAGGGGCGTCGTGATGTTGCTTCAAGCTTCTCTTCGAGTCAGTAAACTCGAACAAAGTTGATCGCACTGCTCAGTCTGAACATGCAATCGCGCGGTGAGACGCGATCGATCGGCGATCGATCGTGTATACCGAGCACACTCAATCGTATCTTTGAGTCGGCTGTGTCTCGTCTTCTAATTCATCTTTGATAGTGTGTATCGTCAAAGCACAAACGCATAACAATGTTCTTTGCACCATATTTGTCTCCACTAACAGCGTAGCAACTACTCGTAAGTACATTCGGTCATGGTACATATCCGATGTGAGTAGAGAACGCGGTCAGCTCAAGAACGAGCTGTCAGCACAGCTCCTTGAACATGTTTCCCTTGGCTTCAGTTCATACCGGTTTTGGAGGACCAATGATTGGTCTCGTTGGACCTAGTCACTCATCTAGAGTAAGCGCTCATCCCTTTTGGCGTACTCCCTCATCCAACCCATGGTTATATGTCAGGTTACTCAAACGTGTACCATATGGCGTGCTGAGATCGCTTATCTATACCATTTTGGGCGTATGAGGGCCCAGAATAGTCTCCTTTTGGGGTCACAGCAAAGTCGCCGAAAGGTTGGGCGTACTGCATTACTGCAGACTCGAACTCTTCGCGGGCAGCACGGGCTCTTTCCACGCGACGGACCTTGCCGATGTTCCTTTTTGTGGTTTGTATACAGATGTGACACGAGGATGCATCGGCCTGCAAGGTAGAGGGAAGGATACCTTGGTGTGATGTTCCATGCCGGTTGGAATACCGGTTCCGCGCGAGCCCTGCTGTGCTGTTGGCATGCTATAGCCCTTTAAAACGGTCACTTCTTCATGTGTCAAATCATCGTTGGATTTTGGACAGATGTGTTCTCCAATGACAGTAGATGCATCGCTCTACTGATGCGGTGTCCATGATACCGCTCGATTGACAAGCGTGAACCAAAAGGGTTTACGCCGTTGTCCGGGTGATACGAAACTTCCACTCAACGATCGTGCCGCTCACTCGTGTTCAGATGTGCTCATGGCTTGGATTTCCAAAGTTGTAACAGCCAGTGTGTTTCGACGATGTGGGGGTACAGCGGGGAAGCGGCTAGTGATTGCGAAGCGCACGGGGAGAGAAGCATGCTTACAGCGGATGGGAAATTTGGAATTGTGTGAACGAGGGTTCGACATGATCTTCGCCGTAGCATGAGTGCCCTGCAATAGGGAAGTTCACTCCCGCACCCGCATACAGTTTTCGTCTGCTACATCGTGCAGTAGTGAGCGAGATCCAGTTCATCTGTTTCGGTTGGCGGGCCAATTCTGTGTATCATGATCCCTCCTACTCATGCGAGACCTGCAGGTAGCTGTATTAAGACTGTTTGCTCGACTCGAGTACTAAATATCAGTCGGGGAAGCGGATAAAGCGAGGGTGTGCTGATACGTTTATGGTTCGCTTCACATATCCCAATCCAGTGGCAATTTCACTGAGAGAGTAAGTGAATGTTCGCAAGCGCTAATACCTCAAGATACAATATCATGCATGTCAGGGCAGGTGTGTATTGGCTTGGGAGACATCTCCAGTAGTGGAGACGACCGTGCGTCGAGCTGCAGCTGAGTTTTGCGGGAGTTCTGTCAGGAGGGTAGATCTTGTTTTCTCTCGAACATATCCCGAGTAGGATGTGGGGAGTTTAAGCATACAGTATATTTGAAGGGAAGGATCCAGCTAGAACAGTTCTCTCTTCTTAGACCAGATTGCGGAGAACTAGCGGGAGATGTTGTCATTGCCCATAGCGAATGTTGAAGTAGTCTTTTACTGGGCTCTAATACCAAGTTCCGGGCTCGTGGAACGGCATCCATGACCAGGGTCTGCTGCGGATGCAGTTTGCATCTGTGCGGACCAGGATTATAATACAGACCGTCTCAGGCTCACGTAGCTGCAGCATCACTCCTATACCTCTTTGTTACGGATGCGAAGTGTGCATGCTTCTGCCACACTAATGCAATGTAACAAAGGACTTGTGACAACAAAACTGTATGTGCGCGCCGAGCGGAAAACTTGGACAAGGTCTCCAGTGTGGCGAGCAATCTATCGGCTTGAGAGGGCTTGCGCGTTTTGTGTGTGACTTCACCGCGACAAGGTATTGTTCTAGTCCATGAGATTACTCAAAGGAAATGGCGGCTAAGGGACCGTGGGGAAAAGCGTATGGCGACCGCGGTGACGTGGGTTGGTGGCGTATAAAGGTTCGTGACATTCTCCTTGGAAGTGCAACCCCCAGATTTCCCCAGATTTTCTCCACGGTCTTCTGGAATTCCGTACACCAAAAGCTTGTTCAAGATCCAGCTGAAATCTGTGTCCACAATCGCCGATTTCGAGTACGAGACAGACACGCACACGTGCTTTAGATGTAAGTTCGCCAGGTTCCACCACGGCCAGCGAGCTGACAATGGCCGTAGTTCCCGAACACAGGATCGGACAGATAGTCATACCATCAGCGCCTTTGAGATGTGCTTCTACGAAAAGATCCAGTTTCCGTGTGGCCATGACGAGTATCGACTCATGCAACACTGCCATTTCGCACGCAACGATCCCGGCCACCAATGTTTTGGCGCTTGGAACGTTAGAAGAACATGGGATCAACGGGAAACAAACTGCACCAACTGTGTCAGACAGAGCCAGTACGATCCAGCAGTGCATACGTCCCAGTCAGCGTACACCGTCGCCAGCGGAAGATAATTGGTTCCATGGATGCAATGCGAGCAATAGCCACCACCTGGTTTCGACCGATGGTCTTCTATCAGCTCGAGAAAGCAGGTGCGCCTCCACAAGATAGTGAAGAGTCGGATCGGATATCGAAGGGAGGCTTTCATCATACTTGTCGGGGTTTCGTGATTGTTTGCACGCCTGGGCGGTTGTTCAATTGCTTTTGCGGCGAATCCTAACGCTTGTAATGTCCTGAGTGGAAAGTTTGGGCGCCATATTCTGTGGCTGCGATATTCACTGTACACTATTAGTATTGTACCTACATATCACCAAATATATGGTAACAGGCATATGGCCTCATATGAACGGCGGGTGTCTCCAATGGGCAGTTGAGACATGGTGCTCGTAACTACTGACGGCTCTTCCGAGAGGCGCATTGATGCCGGTATCGAAACCTGCGAACATCAACTTCACGTATGTGGTGCCTGATCATGACACGCGTGGCGTCATAGAGTGGTTGGTCGTGGCGTGTGCAATGAGGAAGTTCGTGGCGACCTCGGGAAATGACATGAGGCTCGTGCGACTAACCTAGCGCGGCATGGGCGTGGAGCCCCACCTGCCACCAGAGACAGGCCAGCATCGTGACTTCCCATCCGACATTCTGCATCATTTACACCGATATTTAGACCTCCACCATGTCAGACTCTACAGAGCAGCCGAAGAAGGAGAAGTTTGCGCCAAAGCAACCCGTCGCACTGAACCCCCCGAAGGATGATGTCATTGAACGCGATTACCTTGCAAAGTGTGATGGTACGGCTTCACAACGACTGGCTGGCGTTTCAGTGGCCAGGCACTGACCATCAGCAGGCACAAACGAGGGTTTACCCACTCTTGTCGCAATCAAGGTAACTACAGCTGCTTTTCTTCAATGGTGTTCTCGTGCAAGCGCAGAAGAAATTGACCATCATCAGGGTGACGTGTTCGACGTGAGCGGCAAGGAGACATACGCACCTGGGAAGGGCTATCACGGTTTGTCGCCTGAGATGCAGCATCAAGTCGTACCATAAACGACTAACCTATCGTCCTAGTGTTTGCGGGGAAAGAGCCCAACCGTGCCCTCGGCCTGTCTTCTCTCAAGCCTGAAGACTGCATATCGGACTACTCTGGACTTTCCGAGAAGGAAAAACAGGTCCTTAATGATTGGCATACATTCTTCAGCAAGCGTTACAACATAGTCGGACGGTTACCTTCTGATGGCGCCAATCTCTAGACGGTCCATGTCTCCAATCGTCGACTAGCACACGCCCTACTATCGGCCCGTGTAATGTAGCAGTTCAAAGCAACTAGGTTCTACTGAGTCAACTGAAAGGCGCTTTGAGTGTCACATGCACTGCACTGATGATGTGGAGAAGCGATTCGATGAGACCACAAAGCTTGGAAGCAAACCGAATCCATCACATTCAGTCTGTGTTCGAGGAAGTGTACTATTTATGGTCGTACGATGATGTCAAATCATTCTCAAGTTCTGAGATGGTAGGCACCGTGTCGAGCACGGTGCAGTACGATGGCTGATAGTGTGCCTGCTAAGCTGCCCAGATACCCAACAAAACGACACAGCCAGAGATCGTTCTGCCTATGAACCCACCTGACTTCTACCCGTGTCACAACCCCCATTGAGTTATCACGGTATCATCTCTAAGATGGCGACTTCACCATCAAAGCAATTAGAGAGTGAACGACCTCTGCAGCGGCCAATACGGTGGTTTCACCCGGGTTATCGTAAATGGGAGCCACTTCCACTGCGGCGAGTACATTCAGTCAGCTTCTAGTGCTCTTACTGATAAGTCAACGGGGCTCGGAAAATGCGTACCAACATCTGCCCCAACGACGTCTAGTCCTTCGAGACCATCTAGGATGGATAAAAGCTCTCGTGTGCTCCATCCACCGACTTCGGCAGTTCCCGTAGCTATTCTCATATGTCAGTTGCTGTGTAACGAAATACCTGGGTGCTGAAGACAATACTGCTACGTCGAAGATCATTACTTCTGGCATGTTTTGTTTGACAACTTACCAGGTGCGAATGCCGGATCGAGCACGTCTATATCGACACTGATGTAGACCTTCGTTCCAGCGACGCGAGATTTGAGCTTGTCGATGATTCCAGCTACGCCCAATCGATCGATTGCCCGAGCCTTGACCATCTCAAAACCACATCGAAGATCGTTGCGCACATCACCTTTCGGTCGTACCACAGGAGCTCGGATGCCCACGTGTATACTAGTATTTCGGATCAAGCCTTCCTCATGAGCGATGTGCAAGAATGTTCCGTGGTTGACACCACTGTTGTGCTATTTCAGCCATGTCCAGGGTAAATTCTGATAATTAGACTCACGCATAATGGGAGATACCTCCGCCTGTACTATGTCAGTTTCTGATCGGATCGGTGAACACTTCGGCTTACCTAGTACTTCTGGGTCCCAGGTGTCTACGCAGCCGTCAGTGAAGCTCGACAAACCGTACCGCGAACTTACCGATGTGACTGTCAAAGTGTATTACGCTCACGGGCCCCCAGTGATGATGAGTCGATCGAAGAGCCGACAACGTTGTGGTATGATCGCCACCTAGCGTCACGATCTTTGGTGTCGTGCGCTCGCTCGAGTTGGTCGCTCTTGAGGACACGATCTTGGCGATGGTTGTCAGACATTTGAACCAGTCATTCCGTGCGTTCACCAACCTTGTGCGCCTTATCAAGCTGCTTCAAGGCTGCAGTGTTATCCTTCCAGGTACGTTAGTTATAATCTTCCTTGGTCGTTCCTTCAATGTCTTACCAAAAATGTTAAAGGAGCATCGCCGCAGTCGATAACTTTTGCCCAATCCGCGAAGACGTTCTCGCCTGAGCCCCGTCAGTCAGTACGTTGCGAAGTCGCTTTGTCACAATGATTAGTGCCTCTCGATGCAATGTTGGCTTCATGCAGGAGCGAACGGAGCAGCATCATCAAGACAACAAGAAACTGCGACCAAGATTAGGGTACACAGGACAAATTCTAGCGCACGAATGGACGCCTCGAGAACACAACTTGCCAAGATGGCGTGGTGTAACATGTGCCGTTCGTTGTTGCTTTAGTTTGAACAACGCTCGAAGTCCGTGCTTGCGGGATGAACGCCCATACGCGCACCCTCATCATAATGCGACATACCTGTATATATTGACCAAGCAGCGTCTGGCGATATCCGACTGGAGCCCTGCCGGATGCCACTCGGGCCGAAGCGCGCCCCAGGCCGTGCCGTAACGCCCTACCCGTTGTTAACCTTGACTGTTGCGATGCACCCGACTCCGATGCAGAGTCTCGCGCACACAATGTACATGACCTACAGTGTCAAACGGCGCACCAAGAATTGCAATGTCGAACGGCTCCACATCATGGCCTTCTGCTGCTAAACAGTGCACATACGGCAAATTGGCGTACGTCATCAACCCTGCAAACTTTGCTTGGGCGATGTCCATTTCAAGGTTGCCATGAGTAATAATCTGCTGCGACGAATAGCCAGAAATTGGTGGAAAGGTAACATCGCGAGCGCTTGCGAGGAGCTTGAGAGACGATGCCAGAAACAACAACGATTTAGGCGCCATCATGAACATGAACGGGAGAGATCGAAGTATATGAGAAAAGCGAACAAAGTTACCTCAACTAACAATATACCTAAGTAACGTGCTTATCTCCATTGCGAGCCGGTGGTGATGCCCGCGACCAGTCGCATTAAGCCCTGAATGGCAGGTACAGCCGATCGTGCCCCTCCATTCGCCTGCAACGGCTGTCAGTCTGTTACCACTTCCAGAACACGCCGACGGCGCGTACGATCTCGCACACCAGACTCTGCTTATCTTCGGAAGTCATTCGAAGACCTCCCGTCTGTCTTCATCCTCAGGTCCGTCTCTAGGACAATAGGCATGATGTCATGCAAGCATTGCCTCCAGCTCATCCTCTGAAGGTCGCCCTCCATCTGTGCGTTCGTGGTCCGGTATCTCTTCCAGGCGCTATTGTTACTGCGCCTTCACTACCAGGTACTTCTCGACTATTCTTCCCACAGGGTGACACGCATTCCAATGCATTCTCCCTGAACAGCTTTAGATCCCAGCTGTTCTGCGGTGAACCTTTTGGGCGCAACGATGTCGTCTGCGCCTATTTCAGACTTGGATTATTGCAAAGCACCAATGATGTGGACACTCGTGCTCTTCGCTGACTTTGTTGGCATTAGCTCCGCTGTGTGCTGAGTCTGACATCCATGGATGACATGTCAAGACAGCGCCTAGCTAATCATAGCGGTAACTTCACACTCATACAACAGTTCCTTCTTCGCCAGACTTGCAACACCGACAACCGTATCAGGTGGTCTATGCCCATCCGCCTCATTGTCCATAAATTCGATCCAGATATCTCCCCAGCCACGATCTACTACATCCTTTCGATCCTGCTCCGGGTTGCCGGTCTCCTTGACGATGTAATGTCGAACATGCATCTGATTACATCAAAGTTAGTGGCATGGCCAACACTGCCTTGAAAGTGCTCAATCAAGGTTCATAGCGTACAATGTCTCGTGGTGTGGCTCCAGCCGCTGCCAAGCACTTGTGAATGCTATCATAAGCGCCCTTTGCCTGCTCTTTAATGTCGGATGGGATGGTATGATCTTTTTGAAGGCCTGTTTGACCAGCAAGAGTGATCAGTTTGGATGACGGCACTATTGGAGTGATGCAGACTTGGTTGTATGTCGGTGGAGGTTCCGGTACGTTTTCCGGGTTGAACGCATGGGGCTTGTTAGATGACATGACTGAAATCAAGACAATCGAAGCAGTGTCACTTGTTGGTGTTTCCTATATGTTCTTTGCTCGAGTATCACGATAGTATCTCGGCGTGAGGGGCATTTTTGCGTGCGCCTGCCGCAACTAGTAGTCAAACATGTGGGCCTCACTGGCGTTGAAGCATGGGCCTTGATGACATCACGGACTTTCGTCACGCGAATCCACTATCACCACGCAAACAGGACGCGACAAACCTCACACCACTGCACACAGCCCGGCTGGCTGATTAAACATTACCACATCATTGGGCCAAAGTGGATTACTTCATTCACGGATGAAGTTCCACATGCAACCGGGCGAATGAGATGCAGGCCAACACGCGCCTTGCCTCCGTTCGAATGCGGGGAAAGCTCCAGCAGCGAGAGCGTTAAAGCCGTCTGCTCGTGACAGTTCGCGCAACCTCAGCTCACACCCCTTTGTTTGACAGACACTGCTCGTATAATGGCGTCTGGCTGGTTCAGCTCATCGTCGAGCGACCCAACGCGTCCTCCGGACGTTCGCGTCCAAGTTGCTGAACAGAAACCTCACGACTTCTACCTGCAGCCCGGCTCGGGAAGCAGCCCAAGACCCGCCACCAACCGCTCAGCGGGCTCAGTACCTGCGGCTTATGTGGATACGACTCATTCCAAGGTCCATGTCCACAATGCTTCACTTTTCGATGTAGGCATCCTGAAAGACACGCTTGTCCCATCACTCACCCTGCATTCTGGCGTGGCCATCATTGCGTACGGAGCTGCGCGATACACAAATCGCGTCGAAGCCAAGGACTGGCTTTGGCCCAGTGGTCAGGTCGTGAACGCCTGGTGGTCTGCCGTTGGACGCCGTCTTGCTCAAGGCTACACCGTCTCGCAAGCGTTCAGTCGTCTATCATGGCACGAGCGTGTTATCCTTACGGGCGTTACATTATGGGGAGGACGTCTCTTTTACCGCATCGTTAATCGTTCCATCCAACGAGGCGAGGACGACCCACGATATGCCGAAGTCAAGAAGGAGGAGGGCTTCTGGAACAGCGCGTTGTTCAAAGTCTTCATACCCGAGGCCTTCTTCCAGATGCTCATCAGTCTGCCGTTTACCGCACCATTCCGACACGAGGGTGCTGTCATGACAGGCTATCACCCCTTTGTTCAGATGTTTGCTGTCGGCTTGTTCTCTTCAGGATTGGCGATGGAGACACTTGCAGACTACCAGCTAGATCAGTTCAAGGCCGAAGGCAATAAGGGCATCATGCGCGAAGGAGTATGGAGCATTGTCCGCAACCCCAAGTATGTACCCCTGTTCCAGAGTCCATGTCATTCGCTAATGTCGTATAGCTACCTCGGTGACGCCCTCGTACACATCTCCTTCATCGTCATGCTTTACGGCTCAGACATGCTTGCCCCTATCGAACTCCTAGGCCCCGCCGCGAATTACGCCTTCCTCCGCTTCTTTGGCGGCGACGCCGAGAAAGAGAAACACCAAGAACGCCGATACTCCGCATCTCACCCCGAGAAGTTCCGCGAATTGGAGAAGTTCCGAGCGGATAAGAATGCTTTCTGGCCGAGCGTAGATGAGCTAAGCAACAAATGGTTGTGGACTGTTTTGGGTGTTGGAGGCTTGGGTATCGCAGTCGAGCAAACGCTTCGGGCGCTGCACTAGGTCTTGCCGTCTAAGGTTAATGAGGCTTGCCCACAAAGCTGTCTATGCGGTAGGCGCTCAGTGGTCTCGATTAAGTTTGTACGATATAATTAGTTTAGATAGTCAATTTCTTTACTGACATTTCAACTTGGCAGTCCCTACGCACGTTAGCATCAATTGTCTGTCACAAACATTGTGATGTTTTCCCAACAAATCTGTCGTTCCGTAACAGATGCGTCAACAAGCCCAGGGTTTGCACATCACAACGAATGTCCGGTTTACCAAACGACACGAGTACATTGACAAACCTGACCGTAGACTTGGTTGTATAACCGCCATTTTGTGGCTTCTTGTTATAACACCAGTGGTCAATCTCCTACCGTCACCGTTTGAGCTTTGCTACACATCGAACGTAAGCGATGAACGACAGAGATCTCATAGGCGTCATCTTCGTAGCTGTGTTCGTCCCCCTGATCATAGCCATTGCCGCTCTATGTCTTCGTTGCCACTGCCATCTCCAGCGCGGAGGAAAGGGTCAAAGGCGAACACGATCATACACAGTGGATAGAGACTTGTCTGATTATAGATCCCCGCCGTTCGAACCAGCATATTACAATCCACGTTTCAAGCAAGCGTCCAAGACCCGGTCCAAGAGATATGCATCATACAGATACGACTTCGGTCTTCCTCGATACGCTCCAAGAGTACACTCTACCACTACAAGATACGTACCTTCTAGGAGGCAAACAAGAGAACACCATATGCTGAATGAGATGTACGATGGGTTGGATATTACACCCGAGATGGCCAGACCGCGAAAGTAGGGGTGGGTGGATGAAGGCTCACTGGATCTACCTGAATCAGCGTTTGACGGCTTGGATCTTACGCGTGAGCACATCGGGGGACAACGGGAAAGGGAGATGATGGCCCAAGCGAGGAGGCCGAGAAGACCGAGGAGACTGCACAGATCTTTTACTTTCTAGACGGGATGGTATAGGAGTTGCGTTCACGGCTTGCGACGCACTAGATTGAACAGATGGAGTACCCAAGGCTAATAGAGAATGTGTTTTCGGACGCAATGGTAGTGGTTTACTGCCTATCGAGGCCCGTTCGAACTCTCGATATGTTGTCAGTAAACGCTCGTTACAATCAATGGAGGCATAACATGTCCAACATGCCCACGTTGAGGGTGCACAAATACTATCTCACTTTCTTTTCTTTAGGCTCTTTAC